GGGGGGGGGGGGGTTTGTTGAAGCCCATGAAGAGAATGAAGAGAAGAGGCCAAAAGTTACCAGCCTATATTTATTACACTCCATTTGTAAATATTATAAATAGAATATTTCACATTATTTTGTATAGACAGAATTTCATTCTTTCCAGATAATAAAATATTTTCCATTTACTCTCATTTCTATTAGCTCATAGAAGCTTCTAGGTTTCTTCTCTAAGCTTGTTCACCGTGAAGAATCCGTAAATTTTCACATTTTGGACCCCTAATATGTGCTTTCTTTGTGATTTACATTCTGACATGTTAGTTTAAATGATTTGCACCCAAATCTTTTTGTTTCCTTGCAAAACAACAAAACAACTCTTTTTCTTGAAATATTGATGAGGGAAAAATAGAAAAATACCATTTAAAAGATATCGTGCAAAATAAAATAACTAGTTCACTTCTTCCTGATCTCCTTCAATTGTTATCTACATCGAAGCCAACCCCATCAATAAGAATAATCCCTCAAAAAATGGTATTTTGTTGGAAGTGGCAAATGGAAATTGATGGCGAACTGAAACATATCAAGTTTAAGTCAAGTTAAAACTGCGAATATGAAGTAATAACACTACCTATATTAAGATCATGACCATCCACCCGGAGTATTTTTCATTTCTTTCAATTACTTTATGTATAATGTTGAGTATAAGAGATGTTATTTGGTTGGTCTAACTTTAAATGGACTTTTGGACTATGGCATTTTCGTTCTGCGAGTAATGAATGAGTTTTGGAATTGACGCATGGATCATTTGGGAAACGATACGTCAGCATAAAATGGTGGCTCATCTGGAAATAGTGAAGGATAGGAAGTAGTTACATCTCCATCCTGGAAGACCCCTTCCAGAAAACGGTGAAGTACATCCCAAAAAGGCTGAATAACACTGTTGACCCAGTCCTCAAGTGCCTCTGTGATAATTAAAATCCACTTTCTTCCAACATTCATCTTATAGTGGGCGAAGATCTCGGTTTTGTTAGTAACCAACCAAACAATGTAGGAGTCAATTGGGGTTAAACATAGAACCTAAGCTATAAATACCCCATATCCATATTTGTATGGCATCTAATCTTTCACTGCGCACTTTTCTTATATGCCAAAATATTAGTTCTTTATCAGCTTTGTAGTTCATCCCTCTAGTTTCAGAAGTCTGTTTGGAGACTACATCAATAAAACTTCTGTATTTTATTTTTGTTATTATTTTCATCTCCTATCTGTTGTTCATTTACGTATACTTTGGATCAATCATGTTGCTAGAGGCTCTAAAAATATAAATTTAATTGTTTAATCTGAAATCAGTTTTGGGGTCAAAAAGTTTGGCGCCCACCGTAGGGCTTAGCAACAAGCATTTGATCCAAACCTTTTTACTATTTTTCCTAAGATTTCTTGATAATCTCACTTGTTAATTGTCTGTTTAAGGGAAAACATTATGTCTGGAGTCAACAATCAACCAAACATGGATATTATCCCTCACATGACTGAATAGACTGATGGGTCATGAATTGTGAATGATCAATCAACCAGATTTTCACCAACACGATCCTGTTCCTGGGATTCACTACTAAAAAGTAAATGGGCACGGTCGCATGCAATATAATATACCCAACTATGAGTTGGGGTCGAATCCCATAGAAAATAATATATAGGCGATGAGGCAATGTAAGAGAATTATCGCTCATTATGTTAAGCCAAATACTTAAATGGATTTTGAAAAAATATTTATGTCTAAATGCAAAATATAAACTAACCAGAAAGCGAGTAAATGATCAATGGCTACAAGCATAGATGCACGGGAATTACACTCAAGTAACGATTCAATGTATTTTACGATTTTACAAACATGAGCGAATTTATGTTAATTAACCTTGGCTAATAATTCTATATTAGCTTCTTTCAAAGACTAACAAGACTTCCTAATTGAATTATCCCTAAAACAATTAAGAGATTAAGTACAACCGAATATGGCTACAAGTAGTTCAATCCTATTCCTAGGTAGAATCTATAAAAATGAGGGTAACGCCTCAAGTTCTTGTTAATTAATCTTTTTCAACCCCTAATTATCTTTTCCAATATTTATTCGAAGTTAATGGGCGAGCCCTGGGGTTAGCTAATTCCTTTAGAAACATTAAAGAACAAGAATAATTAAAGAAATATAAACTCACTTCAATATTTACAAAAATCATTCAATACATAAGCACAACAAGATATTTAATCTACACTTTAAATATGAATAGTCCTATAAACAAGATTCAATCATTGAAAAAAATACTACACACTTAAATATTCAATACAAAGCATGGATATAAAGAAATGAACATAAATGGATAAGAAATTCTCAGCCAAGAGCTTCAAATCTTCAAGTCCCAAGTGTGTGTGTTAGACCCTAGCTCCCAAGATTGTTTCTCTTAGTGAAGATACTGAAAAATAAGCCAAAGATGTATTTCTAATAAGCTAGGTCATGTATTGAATAGCTTGGGGATCAAAAACGTGAAATTTCATTTCTGCCTGGAATCTGTCCATTTAATGTGCTATGTGATCGCGAAACAAGAACCGCAATTGTGGTGACCAACTTCTGCAAAGCTACACAATCGCCGAGCAAGATACGCGTTCGCGTAGAAAGTTTGACAAGTGGTTGTCCAGCTTTACTTCTTCGCGGTCGCATGACTTCTACTGCATTTGCGATGGCTTAACTGCTAAAATTACGCGACCGCATGGAATTCTCCGCGATCACGAAAAGCATTCACTGGCAGCAGTTAATTTTTCCCTTTTTAACACATTTTGACTTGTTTTCTTTTGTATCTTCTCTTAATCACTTGATACCTGAAATGTGCCAATAAACCTCAATAAATGCCTTAGTTTCTCAACAAAATCATACAAAAGCTAAGTATAAAGAAGAGATAAGTTGGTAAAATACCAACTTATCAATGACCCAGATATGATCCACTAGCAGCCGCCCTAATGATTGTGGTTTGGAGGAGATGGTGAAATTTTTTATGATGAAGGAACATAAGCCGAACGCCAAATGCAAAGAAGCATTGTTGGCCTTAACGAGCGGAGCAACTATTGTAACACCTACTCCGCCACCGAGAACAAACCCCTAATTCCAAATTGCTGCACACAGCAGCTCGAGAACATTAAAACAAAGACGAATCCGGAGGTTCATATGTGATTGTAAATGCTAAGTTACAAAATATAATTCTAACCTTTCAGCAATAGCTTAAGGAACAAAAGGAGAGGATTGAGCAGATCCTAGGAGTCCTGTCTGTCGTAAAAGGGATTGACGTGGATAAATATTCCCAATAACCATGGAAGCCTAGTGCGACTTCGTTGTCGATTTTGAAGAAATTAAAAATGCTAGAAATTTTGAAATAAGACGGTACCAGGGATGACCAGGATCAAAGGGAACTCCCTCATAAAGAAGGAGATCAGATTGATGCTTATCAAAAGATTTGGGGAGACTTTGGCCAAAGGGACTTTAACATGATACAAACATTTACTTGAACATTTTATCAATTCTTTTGTTGAACTTGCAGATGCTTTTATCAAAGCCTAGTCCAGAGCACAAAAGGTGGAATATATCTTCAAAATCGTATAAAGAAGGACAGAGTCACTCCGAGATTTCATTGATCGGTTTCAGAGGGAAAGTATGGTGCTTCTGAAAGTCGACGACAATTGGGCACCTATGGCTCTTACCAGGAACTTGAACCGAGAGAGGTGGAAAGCCTCGAAGAGACTTAAGGAGTGCCTACGGGAATTTCCTACCAAACACATGGAACGATATGCACCACTGAGATAGCATGAAGCTTCGCATAAAAGAGGATATCTCAGTACTCCCCTTTTTTAAGGGAGAGATACCGCTGGGCATAGTCAACAGCCAAAAATGACGCACATACGGGATGAACCCATGTGCGGAGATTCCAGGTTGCAGTATGAACCATACCCCATACCTTTACGTCGAGAAAATAATCAACAGCCAAGATTCGCTCAAGAAAAAAAGTTCCCCATCAGAGAGATTACTCAACAACACGCCGAACCAGGAAAGAACTAGATACGTCGAAAGTATTTAAGGCCAAAGTTTCACGACTACAGCTTCAGCATAAATGTAACAAAATTGATAGTAGCACGCAGAGATATGGGCGATAAAATGAGATGGTAAAGGAGATGAAAACGGACCCAAGCAAGCGAAGCGAATAATTCTGGTGTGAATCCCATAATGACCATGGTCACAAAATCTCCGACTGAGGATCCTTCAAAGTGAGGTTGATCGTCTGCATAAATAGGGGTACATTATCGAGCTCTTTAATAAAAAAAGGAAAGCAATCAAAGATGAAGCACAAAAATAAGGAAGATCCACCAAGGTCCTAACCCCCAAACAAATAGTGAACATCATTTTTTGATGAGAAGAAATGAAAGGAGTAACCTTCACTGCTGTAAAAGAAATTTGCAAAGATGTCTATCTCTCATAAAAAGCATACTCGACAGATGCTGGCTGGGAAAAGCATAAATTTTGATGATGAGGATGAAAATGGCATGACCATATCACACTACAGTACACTGTTAATCACTTTTCAAATTTTTGGTACTGACATAAGAAGAGTTTTGATTGATCCAAGTAGTTCAGCAAACAAAGTTCAACTGCGCGCGATCGAGGAAATGGAACTAATGGGTCAAGCCATTTCAAAGTTGCACCTTCTTTACAGATTTAACAGCTCTAGTGAGATGACCAGGTGCGAAGTGACTCTAACAACCAATGTCGAGGAAGTGGTCAATGGTACTCACTTCCATGTGGTAGCAGGTGATATGACCTACAATTCCATCCAAGGAAGGCCTTGGATCCATAAGATGGATGCAGTTCCCTCAACCTTACATCAAGTGTTTAAGTTCCCATCAAAATGAGAAATACGGGAAATCCGAGGAGAGCAAAGAGCATCCCCGAAGAAGAAACTATTCAATAGCAACCACAACAATTGGGAGTCAGGGATACATCATTCGGAACTAATTTAGATAGTCCTGAAGATACACCTCTTCCATATAAGATCACCAAGCCATAAGAGGATGATGTCTCCACACCAACTGTGGAAAAGTTGGAAGAAGTGAATCTCTTCATCCTTTAGCCAGAGAGGAAGGTCTATATCAGCTCGAGACTGACTACCGAGAAAAAATGTAAGTTAATTGATTTTTACGAACTAATGTAAATTGCTTTACTTGGTCTCATGCAGATATGAAAGGTATTCCGACAGACAGCATAGTAGAAAAATTGAATGTGGAGCTGAATTACCGTCCCGTAAAATAAAAAAAGAGGAATATTAGACATGAATGAGTTTGAGCCGTAGAAGAAGAAGTCACCACGTTACTGAACAACAGATTCATCCAAGAGGTAAAATACGTGGAGTGGATGGCCCATATTTGGTGATACCCAAAAAGAATGGAAAATAGAGATTCTGTATCGACCATAAAGATCTTAACAAAGCCTGCTCGAAAGACTATTTTTCGGTACCAAACATTGATCAGCTCATAGACTCCATTGTTGGTCACGAACTGTTGAGTTATCTGGATACATATTATGAATATAACCAAATAAAATTGATCCGTAGGATAAGGTGAAGACATCTTTCTTAAACGGCATGGGACTTATTGTTACAACACTATGTCGTTCAGGGTTGAAAATACCAGAGCTACATATCAAAGACTCGTTACCCGAATGTTCAAGGATTATATAAGTATGTACATGTAAGTTTAGATTGATGATATGTTGGTAAAATCTATCCAAGCGGATGATCATCTAACTCACCTAGAGGAAATCTTCAAGGTCCTCAGGAAGTACAATACGAAACTGAACCTAGAGAAATGCACCTTCGGAGTCGACTCGGGTAAGTTCCTTGGTTTACTAGTCTCTAATAGAGATGTAGATGCTAACTCTACATAGATAAAGGCCATTGAGGACATAGAAAAGATATTGAAGAACCAAAAATAAGTAATGAGGCCGACAAGGCGAATAGCGACACTCGATCGGTTCATATTTCGCTCCTCGAAAAGATGCCACAAAATCGTTATTGCACTAAGAAAGAAAAAAAAAACCTTTGACTAGACCCAGAATGCCAATAGTCACTATTGGACTTGAAAAAGTATCTATCAGACCCGTTGTTATTGTCAAAACCTCGATTGGAAGAGCGATTGTTGGTGTATTTAGCCATGTCTGAAATTGCTATTAAGTGCTGTATTGGTACGAAAAGATAAAGATACGTAATCTCCAATCTATTATGTTGGTAAGTCACTTATAGATGCCATAACCCAGTACCCGCACTTATAAAAACTTGCACTAACAATTATAGTGGCGGCTCTAAAATTAAGATTATGCTTCCAAAGTCGCCCCATTTTAGGGGTCACTACTTTCCCGTGCAGAGTATCCTCCACAAGTTGGAGCTCCGACTTTCCAAATTGGTATTTGAGTTGAGTGCATACGACATATCATATCAACCCCTAACTACTATTAACTCACAAGTATTAGCGAACTTGTTGCTGACTTTAGCACATGCATACTTTTGAGGTAGAAAAGGAAGCGATAATCGCTTCCAAAACTGTCGCATGAACCTGGACCTTATTCGTAGATGGCTCATCCAACATGAAGGGTTCTAGACTTGCAATATTGTTTATCACCCCAACTGGTGAAACGGTATAATAATTCATTAAGTGATATTCAATTACTAACAATAAAACGGAGTATGAGACTGTTATTGTAGGACTTGAATTAGCCCGGGGACTTGAAGATAAATGAAGATAATTGAAAAATGACTCCCAGTTGGTCATAAATCATGTGCACGAAACTTATGTAGCATGAGAAACCCGCATGCAACAATACATGGCTAAAGTAATGCAACTCCTAAGCCAATTCCAGGAGCGGAAAGCAACTCAAATACCTCGAGAGGAAAATGCCAAGGCGGATGCTTTGGCCAACTTGTGGTCAACCGCAAACATTACCGACTCCAAAACCAATTCAGTGGTTCATCTATTTTGCTCAACCATCGATCAAAACCAAGAAAATGTAAACGCCACAAATTTGATCTGTGATTGGCGCAATGAATTTCTCGATTACTTGCAAAACAAAATGATACCCGAAGACAAAAAAAGATGGTGGACAGCTCAGAGCTCGGGTTGTAAGATATTACCTCATTGAGGGACATTTTTATGGAAAAACATTCAGCGATCTGTTGGCTAAATGCCCGGGGCACGGGGATACAGACTACATAAGTAGAGAAGTCTAAGAAGGACACTTTGGGAACCATTCCAGAGATCAGTCATTAGTTAGAAAATTTATTAGGGTCGGGTAATATTGGCCCTGAATGGAATAGGATGCAACTGAATTTGTCAAGAAATGCGACAAATGCCAATGGTTCTCTCATCGGTTGCATCAATCTGCAGAGCCACTACATTCCAATACTTTCCCCTTGGCATTTCATGAAGTGGGGAATAGCTATGATGGAGGAACATTATATACATATTTGGACCACATTTCATTGGAGCTAAGTAACAAAAATTTTCGTAGAATGGCAAAAGAAAAGAATCGCCTCCACTCCATGCTATCCGAAAGCCAACGGGCAGGGCGAATCTTTAAACAAAGTTCTACTTAATTGCCTAAAGAAAAGGTTAGAGGCAGCAAAGGGGAAAAGGATGGAGGAGCCACTCGGGGTGTTATGAACTTACCGCACAACAACAAAGTCGAGCACCGGAGAGACCCCGTTCACCTTAGTATATGGGTTGTAAGTACTCATCCCGGTTGAAATACGAACCAAGTCTAAGGTTGACGTACGCAACCGAGGATTAGAACAATGAACATCCCTTGCAGCTTGAATTTGGTGGAAAGACGATAAGAGATGTCTCTGATTCGGATGGCTACACAAAAGCAATGAATTGAGAAATACTACAACAAGAAATCCAGCCTCGGCATTTTAAAGTGGGTAACTATGTGCTCCGAAGCGTATTCTCAGAGACACAAGAGGTTAATATGGGGAAGCTCAGGGCCAACTAGGAAGGATCTTACAGGGGCGTAGAAGTAACCATAAAAGGATCCTACAAACTCGAAGAAATGGATGTGAAATTGGTGAAGTCCAACTGGAATGCGGCCCCCCTCAAACGATTCTGCTTCTAGAATTGCCATGGTTTCATCTCCTTCCTCATGGATGAATTGTTAATTAATTCTCTTGTATTATTACTAACATTTTTGGATGATAGGATAGAAGCTTGCCCAACGATAATGATGACCATGGCTACTAGCAAACTCTTGGAATCTCTATGAGTTCCTAGTCATAGTCGAACAACTTCTGACTAAAAAGGGCTTCATCAGTGTCATCGTCTAAAAAAGAATGCCCCACGCCTTTTCTGCGCTTCCTTTTACAGGAATAGGACTGCTGAATTAGAAAATCTCAATAGGCCAAAAAAATCGCAAGAAACAGTCAGTCTGACGGTCTGCACCAGTATGTCACAAACTTATGCAAGGTGACTGTACCATACCGAAACCAGATCAGATGCACCAACTCGGAACTTGGAGCCGCCACCTCTGAAGATCACCCCGGTAAATGATTATTACCGAAGCTAAACTCGAGCACAAAAGGACGGAAGAATGCTAATAAGACATGGAAGGATGAATTAATGTGGGCAAATGACAAAATAATCCCTTGATTC